GAAAGCCCCAGGAAGTTCCAGGAGGCCCCAGGAGGTCCCAGGAGCCTTCAGGAAGCCACAGGAAGCGCGGAGGCCCCAGGAGGCCCCAGGAGGCCCCAGAAGCGGCTCCAAGCTTATGTGTTTTATGTTTGTTCCTATAGATCAGGCCTCTCCGTGGGCACGAATCCTTGGCGTTTTACGCATTTCTTTATCCTGTGGCTCCAATCCTAAGTGTTTTACATATGCCTCCCCTGGGGCACGAATCCTCCCCAGGAGGCTCCAGGAAGGCCCAGGAGGCCCCAGAAGGTCCCAGGAGACTTCAGGAAGTCACGGGAAGCCCCAAGAGGTACCAGGAGGCTCCAAGAGGCCCGAGGAAGCAACAGGAAACGCCAGGAAGGACCCAACAGGTCTCAGGAGGCTCAGCCCCCAGGAAGCGCCAGGAAGGCCCAAGGAAGCCCCAAGAGGCCTCAGGAAGCCCCAGGCGGCTCAAGGAGGAGCAGTCCTCAAGAGGCCCCAGGAGTTCCCAAGAGGCCCCAGGAGACTCCAGGAAGCCGCAGGAGGCCCCTGGAGTTCCAAGAGGCTCATGGAAGCCCCAAGAAGCCCCAGGAAGCCCCAGAGGCCCCAGGAGGCCCCAGGAGCCCCAGGAGATTTAAGGAAGCCCCTGGGAGCCCTAAGAGACCCCCAGCCATGCGCAGGCTCACGCGCATAGACTCGCTCGTACCACTGGGGCTCATACACACTCAAAGCCATTCACCGTTAGACTTTCCCTCCCAGGCTGTCAACCTCCAAGCTCGTTTATGTTCGAAGCCTCTTGCGCCTAGTCATTCACTGCGGAAATGCCAATGCAAAGAGATGCACATGTGGGGAGCTTCACGCAGTGAATACATTTCTGACCGCGCCAGACCCAACCCCTCTCCTCGTCCCTCTCTGCACTAGACAATGATGGTGATGGTCATGACGATGACCATGGTATGGTGAGAGTAGGATGTGAGTATGATGGTGATGGTGAGTGATGGATGAGTATGACGAGGATGACGATGATGATGAGGATAATGCTGAGGATGAAGATGGTGATGATGATGCTGATGATGATGATGATGCTGATGATGCTGATGATGATGATGATGATGATGATGATGATGATGATGATGACGATGAGCAGATGAGCAGATGAGCAGATGAGCAGATGAGGAGGAGGATATCTCGAGCGACTTGCTGGTTTTTGCACTCCGAAGGGGGGGCGCTGGGGGTATTGCACGGCCTCCGTTCGCGCACAGATTGCGGGGATGTCTCAGGCAGTTTGCCTGTCTGCATGCTCAACATCCTCCGTTTTCGATGCTCAACATCCTCCGTTCTCGTCCTCGTTCTTCCCCGTCCTCGCTCGTCCTCGGCCTCGCTCCTGGGGCCTCGGTCCTCGGCCTCACCCTCGTGCCTCGTCCTCGTCCTTTTCGCCCCCTTCTCCTCTCCTCTCGCCGGTGCCTTCTCTTGTATCACTAAGTCAAAACAGATGCCCAGTCCCAAAAACGCGAGGGCCAAGACAAAATGCAGGCTCCTCGAGACTTCGGGGAGGGAGATTTTGGGGTAGGGTTTTACCAGGGCGACGACGACGAACGCAAAACATACCCCGAAATCTTTGGCCGATCTTCGAATCATCGGTGAATCCGCGATTTTGGGATTGGGGATGTGTTTTTTCGTGGTCATTGTACGTCTGGGATGTCGGGAGCCTTGAAATGGGGGTCCGTGCCAAGGGGGTCAGCCAGAGCGCCAGGTCTTGCAGGATCCTGCAGAGCCAGGGGTGCACTGACCCGGGCCAGAGAGCGCAGGATCCTCCGGGATGCTGCGGGGCTTTTGCAGGGTCCTGCGAAGCCCGACTGACCTGGGTTTGGATTGACCCAGGTCAGGAGATCCCCGAGGACGTTGCTGCAAGGGCTCCCCCGAGGGCGCGAAGTTATTCGCGCTTCGCGCTTCGCGGTCCTCGTTTCTCCTCCCCCTCCTCCTCGTCCTCCTTTTCTCCCTTTGGGGGGGCGGCGCGAGAGCGCGAAGTTATTCGCGCTTCGCGGAGCGCGAAGCGCGAAGTTGGGAGCCCTAGTTGCTGCAAAGAAAGCCACTGGCCAGTCTCTGACAAGCCTCCCCATGGAGTGCACGGGTGTCTCGAGAGCTGCTGCGGTCGCCCCCTTGTCCGAGGTGCCCCCTCCGTTTTCCCTTTCTCCTCTTCCAAAAGCTGCCCCGTACACAAAAAAACAACAAACATGCGTCCTACATTCGTCGAAGTTTGAATTCTGGTCGATCTCCAAGAAGGTTGACACAATCTCGTCCTACACTCGCCGAAGTTCTAACTCTGGCCAGTTTCCATCAGGCTGGGGATGCTGTGATCCGGCGAGTGGGGATGCACGCGGCACTTGCCGAAGTCCGAGCCGATTTCCATCAGGTCGGTTCGGATGCATTTTCTGAGAGGTTCGAGCCAGCATCGCTGGCACATCCGTGGTCGAAGACCAGCCTGACCCCGTTCCGTCTGGCGCATTCCCGTTCATTCGGTTTCATCCCCGGCACAATCTGGGGTAATCCAGCTTCATGACCCCCAGGGTTGGACCTAAACGCTGTTTTGCTGGACTTCAGCTGTGTTTTGTTTTTCGTATGGCAGGGAGGTACAGGAAAACATGTAAGTCAAAACGAAAAACACGTTGTTTTTCGTGTCCAGCCCTGATGACCCCTCAATTGGGCCTCTTAAAATGGAGTGGTCCTTAAGACAACCTCTCAGGAGCTCCTTCCCGAGGTTTAGAGAGCCGTAATCAACGCCGCTAAAGCTCGCGCCAGTATCGGGGGCGCCCAGGCCTTTGTGGTCCCCGATGCCGCCTCGGCGAGGAGTTCCGCCAGCGTCGAGAACCAATCCCGGCACACACGTCTCCTGGTGCATTTGGATCCGAATGACATTTATGTAGATGTATATACATATATATATATATGTCTATGTTTATATATGTATATATATATATATTATACGTGTGTATGCGTAAACGTAGTTACTCTGACTTTCGCGCGGATTGTTTGTGCGGCGGTGGTCCCCTTGTCGGCCGCCACTGGCGCGCTCCGCGCTCCAGGGAAAGGGGGGTCCAGGAGAGCGTTTTACAAACCAACCTGTGGTTTGGGGTTTTCGATTTGAAGACACAGCGCCCCGCGTCTTCCACCCGCTGCCCCTTCCCCCCCCATCCTCCCAAAACGGAGCTCCACCGAAGGCCTCAGTGGCGGGGTTCGCATGCGTCTCCCCAGCCCAGTACAGAGTTGTGTGACCCCGTGCGAAGCGCCACCGAAGGCCCCAGTCGCCGTGTCCGCATGCGTCTCCCCAGCACTGCAGCGCTTCGTGGCCCCATGGGGAGCACCACCGAAGGCCCCAGTGGCGGTGTTCGCATGCGTCTCCCCCACTCAGTATAGCGCTTCGTGGCCCCAAGGGAGCGCCACCGAAGGCCCCAGTGGCGGTGTTCGCATGCGTCTCCCCCACTCAGTATAGCGCTTCGTGGCCCTCAGGGAGCGCCACCGAAGGCCCCAGTGACTGTGTTCGCATGCGTCTCCCCCACTCAGTACAGCGCTTCGTGGCCCCACAGGGAGCCCCCACGAAAGCCCCAGCGGCGGATTTTGCATGCGTCCCCCCAACCCAGTACATCGTTCCGTGGTCCCATATGGCACGCCACAGAAGTGAGTGGCGGTGTTCGCATGCGCTTCCCCCACTCAGTACAGCGCTTCGTGGCCCCCCACGAAAGCCCCAGTGGCGGATTTCGCGTGCGTCTCCCACCCAGTACGGCGTTTCGTGGCCCCATATGGAACGCCGCCACAGAAGTCAGTAGCGGTGTTCGCATGCGTCCCCCCCCCCACACACACACACACACACACACACACACACACACTCAAACAAACAAACAAACAAACAAACAAACAAAAACACACACACACACACACACACAAACACACACACACACACACACACTACAGCGCTTCGTGGCCCCGTGCGAAGCGCCACCGACGGCCCCAGTGGCGGTGTTCGCGTGCGTCTCCCCCACCCAGTACAGCGCTTCGTGGCCCCATACGGATCTCCACCGGAAGCCCCAGTGGCGATGTTCGCATGCGTCTCCCCCAGACAGTCCAGCGCTTCGTGGCCCCATAACCTGGTTGCGGGGTTCGCATGCATCCCCCCCGCCCAGTGCAGCGCTTCGAGGCCCCATATGGAGCGGCACCGAGGGCGCCTGTGGCGGTGTACGCATGCGTCTTCCCCACGCAGTACGGCGCTCCGTGGCCCCATACGGCCAGCCCCCACGGGGCGCGGAGGGTGGCCTTCGCTCCGCGCGCCGCTGCCTGGGCCGGAGAAAGCTGCCGCTCTCCGGGGGGCGGCGGCGCGAGGGCGCGGAGCTGACCGCGCCGCGCCGCGCGCCGCCGAGGGCGGCCCGCGCCACGAGGTTCGGCGGCCGAGGGAGGGGAGGAGGAGGAAGAAAAGAGGAGGAGGAGGAGGAGGAGGAGGAGGAGGAAGGGGGTGGGTGAGAATGAGGATACTCATCATCCATTATCATCATCATCATCATCATCATCATCATCATCATCATCATCATCATCATCATCATCATCATCATCACCATCACCATCACCATCACCTTCACCATCATCATCATCATCATCATCATCATCAGCAGCATCAGCATCAGCAGCAGCAGCATCGTCAGCAGATCAGCAGCAGCATCATCAACGGCATCATACGTTCACCATCAGCGTCAGCATCATCATCAGCATCACCATATCCATCATCAGCAGCGGCATCATCATCAGCATCATCATCGTCATCCTCCTCATCATCATCCTCCTCCTCCTCCTCCTCCTCATCCTCATCATCATCATCATCATCATCATCATCATCATCATCATCATCATCATCATCATCATTATCATCATCATCATCCTCACCACCATCTTATGGGGCGGCCGGGGAGGGGCGCAGCCGCCGGCGGGGGCGCCCCGAGCAGCGGCGGCCCGTGCCGCAGGCGCTCCCGTCATGTCGCGGCCGCTGCCGTGCCGCAGCCTGACGCTCACGGCGCCCGCCGCCCCGGGCTGGGGGGAAGGAGAAGCGACAGCGAGGAGGGGGGCAGCGATCGAGTAGGAGGAGGAGGAGGAGAAGGAGGAGGAGGAGGTGCGACACCAACACCACCAAGGGGGGCACCTCCAGCGAGGAGGTCCACAATGCCTCCCCCAGCCGAGGCTGGGGAATGTCCGGAGCGAGAGGGGGGGGGGCCACACCACCAGGGGACCCCATCCCAGGCTTCTCCCGTTGGTGGTCCCTGGTGGTGTTGGTGTCGGCGTTCCACGTTCCTACACGCTCGCCCGCGGCGGCCCCACGTCGCGGCGGGTTTCCTTTTCCTCCTGTTCTTCCTCCTCCTCCTGTTCTTCCTCCTCCTCCTCCCTCCTCCTCCTCCTCCTCCTCCTCCTCCTCCTCCTCCTCGCGTCTCTGCCCCGCTCTCGCGCCTCTGTCAGGGGCAACTAGGGGGGAGAACGACCTCAGGGGGGACGCATCGATTCCCAGCCGTTCCTGCATCGTCGACTGGGGTCTGATAGCGAAAGCGCGCCAGTGGATAGCCCTGAATACACAAAGGGTGGGGGTGCTCGCAGAACCCGCCCCCCTCCCCCCCCCCCCCCTCCCTCCCTTGGCGCTGGAAAGGGGGAAGGGGTTCGACCCCCCCCCCTCCCCCCCTTTGCGCCGAACAGGGGGTTGGGGAGGGGGCCTCTCGGGTAGTGAGTAGAGAGTAGAGTGTTTTGAATAGCGCTTGGTGAGCATTGGGTATTTGATAGTGAGTAGTGCGCAGTGAGTCGTGAGTAATGAGTAGTGGGTAATGGGTAGTGGTTGTCATAAGTACTGCGTAGAGATGTGTGAATAGTGCGTAGTGGGTAGTGAGTAGCGGGAAGGAAGCACTGAGTAAGGAACTGTGAGTAGTGAGGAGTGAGTAGTGTGTAGTGGGTAGTGTATAGTGAGTAGCTAGCAGGGGGTAGGGTGAGAGAGTAGGCAGCAGTGAATAGCGAGGAGTGAGGAGTGAGTAGTGAGTAGTGAGGAGTGCGCAGTGAGTAGAGAGTAGTGATTAGTGAGTGGTGAATAGCGAGTAGCGAGTAGCGTGTAGGGAGTAGCGAGTGGGGAGTAGCGAGAAGTGAGTAGCGAGTAGCGAGTAGGGCGTTGTGAGTAGTGGGTAGTGAGGAGGGAGTAGTCAGGAGTCAGTAGTGAGTAGTGAGTAGGGAGTAGCGCGTAGCGATTAGGGGGTGGCGAGTAGCGGGTAGTGAGCAGTGAGTAGTGAGTAGCGAGTAGTGAGTAGTGAGTAGTGGAAAGCGAGAAGTGTGCATTGAATCGTGGGTAGTGAACAGGGAGTAGCGAGTATAAATTTGTGGGCAGCGAGGTATTGAGTCGTGAGCAGTGAGTAGTGAGTAGTGAATAGTAGGGCGGAGGGAGTAGCGAGTAGTGAGTAGCGAATAGTGCGTTAAGCGTAGTGAATGTTTCGTAGTGGGTAGCGGGTAGCGGATAGTGGGTAGTGAGTTATGGGCAGTGCGTAGTGAGTAGTGAATTGTGAGTACTCAGCAGTAAATAGTAGATAGTGGGTAGCGAGTAGTGCTTAGTGAGTAGTGAGTAGTGGGCAGCGAGTAGCGTTAAGTGAGTAGTGAGTATTGGGTACTGGGTAGTGAGTGGCGAGTAGTGAGTTGGGAGTAGTGAGTAGGGAGTAGGAAGTAGTGAGTAGTGAGTAGTGGGAGCGTAGTGGGTAGCGGGTAGTGAATAGTGCATATTGGGTGGCGAGTAGGGCGTAGGGAGTAGCGAGTAGTGAGTAGCGAGCACTGTGTAGGGAGTAGGGAGTAGCAAGTAGCGAGTAGTGGATAGTGAGTAGGGAGTTGTGGGCAGTAAGTAGTGGGTACTGAGTAGTGAGTAGTGAAGCGTGAGTAGTGGGTAGTGGTTAGTGGGTATTGAGTAGTGATTTATGGTTAGTGAGTAGTGGGTAGTGAGTTGTGTTCAGTGAGTAGTGAGTATTGAGTAGTGGGTACTGAGTAGTGAGTAGCTTGTAGTGAGTAGCGAGTAGGGAGTAGGGAGTAGTGGGTAGTGGGTAGTGAGTCGTGGGTAGTGAGTGATGAGTCGTGAGTAGTGAGTCGTGAGTAGTGAGAATTGGATAGTGGGTAGCGAGTAGTGAATTGTGGGTAGTGGGTAGTGCGTAATGAGTAGTGAGTGCTGTTTGGGGCTAGAGTTTGGGTTTGGGGTTCGGGTTATGGGTTAGGGTAAGGGTGAGGATTAGTGTTAGGGGTGGTAGGGGTCGGGTTCCGGAGACCGGGGTTGCCGTGACGAAAGGGGGGGAGGGGGGGGAATTTGGCGGCCAAAGGGGAGGAGGGGGGGGTCGGACCCCCCCACCCTTTTGAAAGGGGGGGGAGGGTTTCCCCGACGACGGATCGGGAAAGGAGGGGAGGGGGGGGTGTCCCCGACGACGGATCGGGCAAGGGGGGGAGGGGTGGGGGGGTCCCCGACGACGGATCGGGGAAAGGGGGGGGGAGGGTCCCACCCCCCCCCCTGGGGTCATCCAGCGGCGCGCCCTCTCTGATAGCCCCGCCCCCCCGCCCAGGAGCGTTCGCACCTGCCATCCCGAGCCCATCGCCGATTCATCTGCGATGCACCTGCCAGTTCCATGCCGACGTCTTCCCCTGAGCCAGCCCCCCCCCCGATCGTTCCCCCTCAGCCCCCGCTCACGCTCTCGCGCCTCTACCCTGCCCCCCCCCTCCCATTCGCGGGCTGCCACACGAGGCCTAGGGTTAAGTCGGGCCTGCCCCTCTACAGGAGGAGTGTTCAAAAATAGTCAAAAGAAACAGTCTGGGGACGAGTTGTATTACCATTTTGGGGGCACTGTCTGAATATGTTTCTGATCTGTTTCAGTTTTCGTCCAACATCCGCCTGCAGTGGGGACGCGCCCGACCTAAGCCTAGGGGGCGCCTAAGGAGCGTCAGAGATCGACGAGGCATGTGTCCCCAGGTTTCGGGAGCCTCGAGAGCCGCGCAGATCGCCGTTGGAACTTCAGCGATCGGATTCGGGGATCCCGGAACGGGCCCCGCAGGAGGGCTCCCGCGCCGAGGCGCGGACGGCCGCGAGGGCCTACGACGGAGCCGTGCTGGCGGCCGTCTCGTGCCAGCTGGCCGCGCGGCCCGCCCAGCCAGCGCGGGCGCGGCCGCGCAAGAGCGGGCGGCGCTGCGAGAGCGTCGGGGCCCGAGCCCAGAATCCAGGCCTCCTAGATTGGGGTCCGAGTAGATGCCTGGCATCGCTCGGACGTGTGCATTTTCCTTCGGCGAGGACCATCGAGGAGCATCCTTGATCACCTGGCGAAAAAAAAAACACGCACGGAACCAACAAAAACACAGGGAATGGATGTCCGAGCGATGGCCAGGATGGGGTCGGAGGACCGCGCCGCACCGCCGATGCATCGCCGATGCGGCTCGCTGTGGGGCCCGACTTGCTTAACGTCGACGTCGCCGATGCGTCGCCGGCGTCGACGATGCATCGGCGGTGCATCACCAGTGCATTGCCGATGCATCGCCGATGTATCGGCGATGCGGCGCGAGCCTCCGATCCCATCTATCCCGACCCCATCTAGGAGGCCTCCACAGAAGCCACGCCGATCGAGTGCAGCTCGAGTTGAGGCAAGGGGCTGGCACAGGCGCGCGGCGGCGGGCGGCGCTGCTCGGGGCTTGGGCCCAGAAGCTCGAGCACGGACACGTCGGTCGACGTCGGCCTTCACCCCTCGCGACGGGGGTGGCGGGTCCGATTCGCGACCTTGTCCCCAACCATCGCGCGGTGTTGGGTCCTCGCCCTGAATCAGCAGCGCCCCGCGACTCTCCTCCCACCCGCTGCCCCCGCGCCCTCGTCCCTCCTCGCTCCTCACGCGCTTCGCGGCTCCATAGGGAGCTCCACCGAAAGCCACAGTGGCAGGGTTCACTTGAGTTCCCGCCACAACTCACACGCTTCTTGGCCCCACATGGGGGCTCCATCCAAGGCCCCAGAGGCAGGGTTCGCATGAGCTTCCGCCTCTCCTTTTATTTCGTCATACCCTTCACACGCCTCGTGGCCACAGGGGGCTCCACCGAAGGCCCCGGTGGCACAGTCCAGATGCGATTGCCCACCCATTTCGGCACACCCCTGACAGGTTTCGTGGCCCCCCAGGGAGCTCCACCGAAGGCCCCAGTGGCACAGTCCATGTGCGGTTCCCCGCCCGTTTCGGCATACCCCGCACATGCGTCGCGGCCCCGCGGGGAGCTCGATCGAGGCCCCCGGCGGCAGAGTCCACATGCCTCGCCCCGCCCATGGCGGCGCACTTCACACGTTGCGTGGCCCCACGGGGAGCTCCGCCGACGGTCCCAGTGGCAAAGTCCGCACGCGTGCCCCCGCCCATTTTGGCACGCCCCTCGCGCGTTTCGTGGCCCCACGTCGAGCTGCACCGGACGCGGCACCCACAGCGCGGCACTCACGGAGGCTAAACGGCGGGGCCCTTCGCCCGGAGCGTTGCTGCTCACTTGCCTCGCGCTGCGCACGACGCGCGCGCGAGATCACAGGCCAGCTTCGGGCACGCAGCAGCCCCCGCGAAAAAAAGGGAGCCACGTGGCCACTGCCGCGGCCAGCGCTTTGGGGGGAGGGACGCGCCCGAGCTCGGCCAGGGCCGGGGCCCCGCCGGGGGCCCGCGCCCTCGTGCTTCCCCGCGCTGTGCACGAGGGAAGAGAGCCAAGGCACGGCGCAAGCGAGCGCTGCTCTTCGCAGGAGCAGAGGGGCAAGCTGGGGAATCCACCGGCCACTGGAGGAGGAAAAGGGGGATCCTGGAGTTCCGGTGGCCGACGTGGAGAAGCGGGGCCGTCTTCACCAGCACTGGCGCGCAGACTGCCCGCGCGCGCCGTAATCAAGCAGTGGCGAAGCGTCCTGGCTCGCCTATAGCCCTACCAAACAATGTTCTAAGAACCCTTGGTAGTTTTCACGAAACGTTCTTAGAAC